TGTATATATTCCTCAGAGTTCCAGGATGCGTTCTCAAGATGAGATAAAACCACTTTTTGATCAGTGTACAGTTGGTATTTAACTCTCTTCCATGGATCTATATAACCAATATTTTTCAGCACATTTGTAAGACACTGCAACAAGTAAGGACACCACAATAAGGTTAGTAATCATGCAGAGTGTGAGTGCATGTCATGCAGCACATATATGTGGGAAGACAAGGTCTAAGAACTTTTATTAAATCACAGGAAGGCAGTTCACTGGAAAACAGTCTGGAAAGCTGCAGAGCCAGATACCATTATGAAAGAGTCAGGTAATAAAGTTCACAAAAGGAAGTGCATCTTTAAAAAAGGATCTGAAGAAAAAGAAGGAGATTCAAATATAAGAGAGCAGCATGAAGCTGAGAGAAAGGAGGGGCAGAAGAAGATAAAAGTATGTAAAAGATAGAGGATGACATCAGTACAGAGATCAATGAGAAGAAGATTCTACAGAGACTCGAAGATCAGGATATTTTTCCTAGTACAAAAACTGAACAAATCTTAGAGGCAGCAAATTTAAAACAATTACCAGGAAGTACATTTTTATATAACACATGAAGCTCATTGCCTCTGGATACTCTTGAAATCAAAAGCTTAATGGGAGCCAGAAATGGCTAAATTACAGCTACATTATACAGGATTCTTTTCATCTGTAGAAGAAAAAAAAAATTTCTTTGTGCTTCCTGGCAAGAGTTAGGTACTAAGGACGAAAGGAATTAGGAATTAGGAATTAGGAAGTGATTTACCTAATTTGACATAATGCAATAGTTATCCATTATGGGGTAGCTGTAGCTTCTGCTAAAACAAGACCATCCAACGGTTTTGGAACACATACAAAACCTCAGAGTGCCAGCCTACTCTTACCAACAAGGTACTTGGAAGAAAGTCTTCCTGAAAGCCAGCTCTCTCTGGATTCCTGCCCCCCCAAGGTAACCCCTTTGAAGCAATTGCTATTAGACATTGCTGGAGAAGGGTACTGGATTAATTGTGTTTATAGGGTGACTCAGTGTGCCATGTTGCTATGTTTTGATGGATGAAAGGGCAGAGAGAAAGTTGCAAAATCCAAGACAGAGATGAGTAATCCAGACCTGGCTTAGAAGCAACGAGTGGATGGATCGTCCTATGCTGCATAGCTGTTGTCTGGAATACGGCAAAACGTTAAAATTGTGACTGTGTTTAAGGCAAAAGCAATTAATCAGTTTTCTGAGTAATGTGAAGACATGACATTAGAATACTCCAAACTATTGGCTTTCTTTCCTATTAACACCAGCGACATTTGGAGTTGGGTGGAGATCAAGACTTAGGCTAAGTTCCATCATTACTTAGATTTGCTTTGCCCAGTACTAATGTTCCATTTAAATTTATATGCTTCTTTTTGGAAAAGGTTATCACCAGTAGCAACAGGCAAAATATTTAGTACTGAATAGTCTGCATATTTGTCCTCAACAATACAAACCTTTGGATATAGAAAATAATTTGGAAAAATAGAGATCAGCTCCTGTATTTGCTATGGTTCCAGATTTTAGTCAGGCAAAAGAGAAGAACTGTCAGAAAAAACTATTTCAATGGCTCCTCTAATTCCTTCTCCCACCTCCAATAGACACTAACTCCAGATGCCAGAAAAATTACTCAATTTTATGATAACTAGGACCCTATCCCATAGCAGAAGTATCAGTCTACCTGTGAATGCTGCTTTTGGACTTTTATACTGAAGTGGGATTTGCTGCCCCTTCTGCATGCTATACCCTTTAACTACAAATATTATTTTCATCAACTCACTTGTTGGGGTGAAATCTCTGTCCCACTGAAATCAAAGACAAACCAGCTAACTTCAAAGTACTCATGATTTCTCCTATCTTGTTGTTCCACACATTATTTATGCTTTGGGTTTCAAGTACTTTCTTTTATTTGTTTGAACTCTGTTTTACTGCATTCTTCTTTTCCTGTCCCTCACATGAGAAGGCAGTAAAGAGACCCAGCTAATTTTCCTTATAGTACCTATCATCTCATAAACCTTTATCAATGCTGCTCCTTTCTTCAAAGAAGAGTCCACATGATTGTGATCCTTTAATGCAAAATTCCAGCCTCTGATCAGTGTTCATTGCCCTTTTCCTGGTATAATGCCTTTGAGCCAAATAATGAAGACCACAAATAACTGACCACAGCATCCAATATAAAAGGGTACCATTAGTGCAACATGGCAGGCACAGCAGAGGTTCTCTCTCCTTTTCCTTACGGCTCCTAAAAACCTGCTTTTCTGTTCACCACTGGGCACTGAGTAATTACTGTACAGAGAAGATGGAAAAAACTGCAAAAGGTTAGAGTGAAACAACATGAAAAAACAGCCCCTCCTTGTGATATTTATATTTCTGCTGCTGGCCCTGGCAGAAGCCCAGATTCTGAATGAACAAAACTCCCAGTGGCTTAGGGACTGCAGCGTTCAGCCCATAGTCAGGAAATGCAATAGCATGTGACAATGAGGAGAAATAAGAAAAAAAATAACACTTTCTGATGCTTCCAGCTCAATCAGTTTGGATCAAATCTCAGGGGCTGTTGAGATTTTGTGTGAATGAGTTCTCTATTGCTAAACAAAACCACATGTGTGTTACAGAGTGTGGCTTTGCTTCCTCATTGATATTTCATTTTTGCAGTACTATCACCATAAAACCCCATTTTGTGTACAAGGCCACTGTCCTCTCTATTAAAATTCAGTGAGGAAATTTTCCCAAAACAAAAAGTCAGCTTCCTATTTCTCCTTCTTTCCAGAAAAGCTACTTGGTAACTGTTGTTCTCTATTCCGTGTCAAATCTTGGTTGTTCGACAAGATTAGAATAAAAAAAAGGTGGGTAATGGTCCATGTTTATTGTCATTCAGTGAGCCAGGTTAAAACCATGTCATAGAATCATAGAATGGCCTAGGCTGGAAGTGACCTCCCTGTTTTGGGCAGGGACGGCACCTCTCGACTAGACCAGGCAACACATGGGGACCGAGCGGGAATCAAACTTGTGACCTCGGTGTTGTCATTGTTGTCAGCATCGTGCTCAGACCACTGAGCTAACCGGCCCCCTAAAGATTTCAGGCTATCTTGCGTTCTTTGTGCGTGCAGCCCTGTGGAGGCTGCAGCTGAAGCACTGTGTTTGTTCCGAGGGATTTTCTTCTTGTTTACTTCTTTCTCGTCTGGGAAAGGTGCTTGGATAAAAGCAGCTTGTTGGGGAGTTGGGGAGCCAATGAGGAGGCGTCGGGCTTTGTCCTTGCGAGGATGCGGCTACGATGGTTTTCTTAGGATGGTGTTCTCTGTTTGCAAATCATAGAATGGCCTAAGCTGGAAGGGACCTCAGAGATCATTTTAATCCAGCCTCCCTGCTGCCAGGGACGCCATCTCTCGACTAGATCAGGCAACACATGGGGACCGAATGGGAATTGAACCCACGACCTTAGCGTTGTTAGCGCTATGCTCAACTGACTGAGCTAACCGGTTAATGGCCATTCACAACAGATTTCTTTTGGGGAACTAACATCCTGGAAACTTAACCGTTAGGAAAATAACATCAAGTTATTTTATTTTTGTAAACATTTAAAATACAAATTAGCCACAATTGTAGTCTAGCCCATAAAGGGGAGAGTATTTAAGAATTGGTAGGTTAATGGGACTACACCACAGTAGACAACAGAAAGGTTTAGCATTCAAAAGTGGGTCCTATTACATTTTGCTACTGGAGCAGTAGTAGTCTATGGAGTCTATCAAGGACAGAGTGTTTCAGGGCTCATGTAGATACTACAGAGCAGAGATTTCATCTTCATTTTTTCTTCCATTACGTACATCATTCTCACTGCGCGGCTGCTTGTCTTCACAGTTTGTAATTTATCTCTCTCTTTTGTGAGGTTATTGACAGACCAGTAAGACCAGGACCTTCAAGCCACAGAGCACAGAGGGCAACAGGTGTTTAAGCACTCTCTTGTTGACCATATCCATGACCAGACAGGGCCACGTGTAAAATTCAATTGTTTTAGAGACAATCTTTCCTTTTATGGAACTTGTTAATTTAGAATATTCCTATGTACATCATCACATAAAATCATCAAAAGTGGCGTTCTACAGCGAGGTTGTTATTTTTCAGTGTGAGCAGAACCGAGGATTGCCAGGTGGGGACTGACACATGGATCTGTATGGTCAATCAAAACCAGCTAAGCATGCCTAGGCAGGTGGCAGAAAGGCGGTTACCTGTTCCCACAATTGGTGGTGGATGCAACTCAGTGTTTCATGGGGAAACTCGCCACAATGGTAGCATATATTGTGAACCATCTACTTTGCAAAAAGGTGTAACTGAGGCAATTGGGAATCCATGGCATAATTCTCATTTCCCAGGTGTTCTATGGCATCAATTTTCTCAGTCCTTGATCAGGTTAGATCACAAATGAGAGAGTATTTGAAAACTGGTAGGTTAAAGGGACCACATCACTTCATGGTGAACAATAAAAAGGTTTGGCATTCAGAAGTGGCTCCTATTAAGTTTTGCTTCCAGAGCAGAAGTAGTCTATGAAATTCTTACCAGCTTAATGTTTAAAATATCTGCTAAAAATTACGAGAAACATGCTCGCCATCTCTGCCTCCAGCAGGAAATCCTGCACTTGATTAGCACAAAGGCTGGTTGCCCCCCTTGCCTCCCCCTCAAGTAGGTTTAACAGGCCTGAACCCCATCAACCATAGGACCAGAGAGCAATGGGTAAAAATACAAACTCCTTAAATGGTCTTGCCTTCTCTTGGTAGCTGGGAGCCTGCTGGAAAGAGCTTCCCCAATGCTGCATCCCATTGCTTTTGTTTATCTATCCTTGCTGACATTTTCTTCAATTAGGAAACAATAGCTCCGTTCCAATGTACCGAGCAGAATTACTGAAACTGAGTCACGTGACACCATAAGAGTGTGTTTTCAATTATTCACTCTGTCTTTTTTTGCCAGGCCTATGAAGAGGAACAGCCTTCCGCAGGAGTCAGGTTTGTCTGCCTCGCTGTTGTAAGTTCCTCCTTTTGAATTTTTATTTTATGCTTAAGTATGTGGATTTTTTTTTAATTTTTTAAAGAGTAAATTCAACTCTCTAAGAGTTTCTTCCTCTGTAAGAAAACTTCCAAATCTCTAGCACTTCCTACTGCCTGGAAAGCCTAGACATCTGCAATAGTTCAGTGCTAATAGTACTGCTCATTAATGAAGCTGACAAAGATCACAAGATCTAGATTAAAAAGGGATGCAAGATACCACGCTGTTAGCACTTGGTAATGTAAAACTCATCTTGTTCTTGCTAGCAAAAAGTCCTATCTTTCCTACTGTCTGGTTAGCAGCGGAGCATTTGCATTCAATCTGGGAGCTGCACCAAATTATTTGCATCTTGTAAATGCTCGGTTTAATATCCAACCAAAAATTTGAACCAAATGGGCACAGCTCAAATTGTGTATTTTGTTTGCAGAAGACAGACTGAGTTAGGGCTTTTTAGACTTAAAGCTGGAAAAATAAAGCTTGGGAAAAAAAAAAAAGAAACAGAGAAGGAACATTTGGTTTGCATTACAAACCACAGACAACTTCCATCAGGCATGCTGAAGGTATAAGAATGGCAAGAGAAAATGACAAGCAGTGAGTGCACTGGAGGAAAAGATGAACGGTTTGGAGAAATGACTTTGAAGTAATTGTCCATGCTAGAAATACCTTGAATTAAATTTGGTGGAAGATAGCAATGAATCATAAAGTTTCTCTGGCACTTGTGATACTGTCTTCTGTGTGAAATAACAGTTCTGGATATTTTTATTGGAAAATTTATAGACTATGGTTTTGGTACTTCCCATATTTATGTCACCTATGCAATCCTGAATCAGCATCTCTGTAAAGGATGTTGCCTTAGTTAAGACTTGGGATGTGATCTAATAATTAGAGCAAGAACAAGTATTTAACTGGAAGTCTTCAGATCTACTGGTTTTGTTTTCACCTCAGCCACTGCCTTGCTTTGACACGTTAGGTAAGTCATTCAGGGTTAAACTCGGTCTTTGAGATGACTGGGGACGGGGGAGGAGGAAATAGCTGATGCAGCAGGACAGGAGAGCTGTCTTTGCATAAGGTAAAAATCCTTAAGAGCATTGCAGGGGGGTGGGATGACAAAATGCACTTAGAGCAATGTTTTCTTCACTGTTTGAACAGGTGCCTCTGTGTGTTCCCTCCATCCCAGATGCTTAGCATAGTCAGGGAGGTACTTCTTAGAGCATTTAGTACTGATGGCAGTGCTCACTTCTTAAGCTTAGCCGCTTCACGCAGCGTAAGAAAGGACTCCTGCATCTCTCTGTCCTTCATTCTAGCATGCCAGTCCCCAGAGAGCTGTACTTTGACCATTAAGCTATCAAGTCCTCTGCTTATCCATGTACTTAATAGCTCTTTTTAAATACTTTCTCTCTGGGAAATAAGAGCGCAGTTAATGTTTGTACAACATTGAAATCCTTGAATGAAAAGTGCTGTTTCTTCTAATTTTCCCCCCTAGGCAAGACTGTTTAGATCGGAATGTGTAGCCTGGGCTCGTTTCTGACATTCTTATTTCTCATGCCTAATAGCAACTGTCAGAATCACACAAGGAGCACCAATCCCAGATTTTCAAGTGATGTGCATTCCACATATCTTCAGCAAGTAGCTCTGTTGCTTCTTACCCAGGCACTGAGGGGATGTGCTTGCAGAAGTTCCCCTCATCCTAGCCATCCTATCGCTTTTTTAACTCTCCATTCTGGTCTAATGGGCCAGACAGCATTTTTACCTAACTTCAGACATATAGGAAAAGCAACATCAAGCTTTACAAGATTAATTTCCAAGTGCTCTAGAGACTCTGACAGGGTTTTCCTGACTCAGAATTTGCAATTAGGTACATACATACCTATTATGGTAGACTAAAGCTTTATGCTTACCAAAACACTAAAAAGTATCTTTTTTTTTTTAAAGGAAAAGAACAAACAAACAAAATCTCCAAACCTTAAAAACCTTTATATGTTAGTAGGAAGTGTCAGTCAGGTTTTAACTAATCAATAAAAAAGCAGACAAAAATCACAGACTTGTGATGCTGATCATCGTGAGCTATTTAGTTCTCAAATTTATTGTTCTAGTAGAATTCATAGCACTTTTCATCTCTGCACTTTCGAGTAAATTACCACACAGAGGTTCTCTCAATAGTGCAAAAGAGGAGATTAATCCTAGAGAAATAAAAGCCCATGTCAGCCAGAAAATCCATGTGTTAAAACTGAGCTCCATCTATGCCATACCTTTCCCCATCTCCTCTGGTCTCTATGTCCTTACACCCAGGCTTAGATGAACTTTTATTCATCACATACTCTGCATCACAGGGAGCACGGCGGTGCTGTTGGGCAGTCCTCCAGCCACACCATGGCCATGTTCAGCCATGGTTGCAAATCTTGTTGTTCGTAAGAAGAGAGGCTACTCTGAAGAAAAGAAAAAACCAGAACATTCTGGATACTGAAGGGAATGGACAACATATGCTAGTGCAGTTTAACCCTGACAGCTTCCCTCGTGCCAGTGTGGGGAAGGCTGGGAGCCCAGCGATTTTCCTTCCAGTGTTGCCATCCAGTGAGGTCAGAATCTCCCACAGGAGCAGAGAGGATCCCAAAGATACACAGGAGAGGGTCAGAAAACACACTGGCTTTGTGGAATTTGACAAGTTCTCTGGATACTTTCAAACTTCAATTTTGCCCTGGAATAAAGTCCTGCTAGGAAATCCAAGGAGTTCTAATACTCAGGGCATGAGTTTCTGAAGTGTTAGAGATTTTGTTGGACTGAAGTGTTAGAGATTTTGTTGGACTGATATGATGGAAAATAAATTATGATGGAAGGCTGTAGGAGCATTACCTATCAAAAATACCAGAAAAGACTGCACAAATAAACATCCTTTTCCCTGGGAGATGAAGGGACCTTTTTACTGCTCCTGAAAAAGCTGTATGTATTTCTTTTACAAATCTAAACAAATTCAGATTCACACTTAATTATGCATTTCTCCAGCAATGCCATATAGTTCCTTCAGACAGGTACTCAACGGCAAAATGTTTATCACCTGTTCTTGTCTCTCCTGGTTATTGGTATGAAAGGAAAAAAAAAAAAAAAAAGAATCTGGCCTGGTCAGAACTCGTAGGCCTCTATTTATTGTTGTGGCTGTAAGGAGCCTTTAGAAAATCTGCTGCCTTCTATTTCTATACCACAGTGGCATTTCAGGTACGAAGTTCTGACATACATAACTAATTCTGCATAGGAGCAGGGAAAAAACCCACAAAACAAACCAAAACAAAGACAATAGCCCAGTTTAGACGACGGTACAAACTTTTTCTCTCAATAACGTACTTGGGAAGTGCTTTTCAAATTACATTGACTTTCAGTTTTGTGGCAACACCTACAGCATCTTTAATTTAAGTAAATTCTTTAGTTTCAGTAGGTATTTTCTTTGTAATGGCAGCATACAGTATCACTTAGGTATTTTGAAGACAATAAAAAATCTGTGTAATAAGTATGATAATAAAAATTAAGTGAGAAAGTCAAAGTAATTTAGACTTCCTCTTGTTGAATTTTCAGCACTGACACATACCTACCAGAACATTTTCTAGAAACTTTTTCTGAGAGAAACAGAAACAAAGCTCCCTTTTCTTATTTTAACATGCTCTTTACTCATTTTACAAAAGCTTCAACTTTTGCCACGTTTTGATTGTATAGCGTTTCTTCAATTTTCTCTTAATTTTGTACGCTGAACCATATCCTGAAACAAACCATTTCTGTAATGGGACACTTTCTGATTGATGGATTGGAGCTGTATTCCTTTGTAGAGTTCAATCCCTAATCAGATATTCACATCTTAAGTGCTTCACTGGATCCCTCTGTTACTGTTAAAAGCACGGTCTTAAGTGAGTTCTGGTCTGCAAAGGTAGGAGTTTTATAGCAGCCTGACATTCCTCACTCTCTTATGGCTAAGATCTACTTTTACTATATCACTTACAAATCACATGTGCCAGGCAGAGAACTTAACCTCAACAATTTGATTAATCTTCTTTGAATTATAGTGGTTTCATGAACCAAACTTCAGAAGGAGCTTCCCCTTTCCAAATAATGTTGGGAGTGTAGAACGATGCTTTTAAAGTATCTTCCTTTTCAATCTGGGGTTTCAACATGCAAATTCAGCAGAAGCCCAAAGGAAGCAGCACAATGGAAGCACCAGAAACATTTATTAAAAGCACTCCATTGTGCTTGGGGAGTATGGAAAGAGAATGCAAAGGTGAAGGAGAATTTAGTAAAGCACTGCACAGAAACAGAATTAGCAAGTCATGAGATATCACGTGGCTGTTAGCAGACTGAAAGGCTCTGTTGATTCGATTTATTCATTACGGCTTTTCAGTAGTGTAGGTTATTAAGTGGGAGAAAGTGGGGTATATTACGACTGACTTTTTATATTTCCTTTCCTGAACGACATTTAGCACCAGAGAAGCGGAGAAAGTTATTGAAAGTATCATGCCGCATAAATGGGAGAATGACAGGAAAAAGGGCAGCACCACCAGCTCTCTGAAGATGGATCGAAAGAACAGTGCTGGGAACAGGAAGTCAAGAAAGTTTCGCTCCATTTCAAGATCACTTATACTTTGCAATGCCAAAACCAGTGATGATGGGTCAAGTCCTGATGAGAAATGCCCTGATCCTTTTGAGATCTCTACCAGCTGGGGTCAAGAGGATTTTGACTGCTGTCCTAGAACACCACTGCCATGTACATCAGAGACAGAAGATAGCCCACCTGATCCACCGCGTGTGATCACCAGCATGGTCCAGTCCAAAGCTGCAAAAAACGAGAACTGCAGCAACGTGAGAAGAAAGTTACTCACCAAGGTAGGCAACTCAGTGCAGTATATCGTAATGTTCCCCATTGCAGTAGTTCCTAAATGGATTAATTTATATTTCTCAGGAACACAGGATTCTACTTGGCTTTTTCAGAGCCTACAAGCCTGCAGCGTTCCTGCCCTATATAAGCAGCATGAAAATGTATTAGCTTCCCTGCTGTGCTGTTGCACTCTGATGTTCTGCTGAAATCAGTGACTGCTGGGCCACTCTCAGCTGGTGCTTTCTATCTGCAGTATAGCAGTCAGCTCAAAATATAAAACTGTCACTATAGTAAAGTGCATTTGTAAAGTGTGATGCCGTGAGATCTCATAAGCTATGCAAGTATGAATTATATAAACATTATGGAAGACACAGGATATTCAGCAGGTGGGTGGTTTTTCTCTCTGCTTTAGGAAGGAGGTGGTGATGGCTCTAAAATCATCAGCAGTGTCACTTTTTCCTAAAGAGGTAAAAACTCTTAACAGCCTCATACTACAACATTATTCTTTAGTCAAAAAGTAACTAATGATTCTAATGATAACTCTAAAGATCTGAACAATTTTTCAGTCTCAGAAATATGTTTTAAATGCCTTTAGAAAGCTCCCTTTCAGTGACATATCTGATTTTTTTCACTTCCTCTCTACTGTTGGTGTGCTGTGTAACAGGGACCTCACTGCAAGTATGACACATTTATCAATACAGTTTGTGTCCTTCTGGCACCTTCCTTATTATGTGCCTTTTACCTCTGCAAACAGTGGCTTATGTGCAACAACTATTTCACCTAAATTTTTTCTTTCTTCCATATTCTGTTTTATTTTATACACCTTCAAGAGAAATTGGCTGAAACTACACCTCTGCATCTAAACACACAATAGTACTGAAAATCAGAATCTCCTCTTACTCCTTGAGTTTCTTACTAATGATCACAGCACACAGCCCAGTATTGCAAAGACTGCAGCAGGACATCGTTCTAGATGTGAGGTGTTTCAGCCCTTGGCAAAGTCCCAGCATGAGAACAAAAACAACCCAACTTTCTCTTACCTTCTGATAGAAAACATAGATAGGTGGCTCTGACTCAAGTCCCAAAATACACTCGGTCACCTGCAAAACTGTACCACCTCCTCCCTTTTGGAAACAGTCCATGTGCACTCTGTTTATTTCCTTCTGTGAGTGAAGGAGGAGATGACCTCCGTGGATTCCCTCCCCTACATTTAACAAAGTTGAAGTACTTAGGTGTGTGTCAGCTGTCGCAGTCTATTTGCTTCCATACCTCCAAAAAATGCAGGACTCCAATAAGCTGTGATCCATAACCACACGAAACTACTCAGTATCTTATTGCAGACTGTAAATTTAGATAATTTGCTTTTATAGCTGGCAAGAAGCTCAAATAGGGATCTGGGGAACAAAGTCTCATAGCTAGCAGCATTGCACAGACAAAATATAACTGCTAAGGGTTATAAATCCACTCTTAGGCTGGAGTGTTAGTGTCACTGAACAGGATGGGTCAGGAGCCTGGACGAATGGTGACATAAATTACGTCAGCAAACCAGTCCCTTACAGTAGCGTTTGGGTTGCTTAGTGCCATTGCAGACAATAGACACATTAAATTCCCTGTCCAGAGCTCTCATAGCAATATAAACCTCTTCAGATGCTACTCGCCAACCTTCCACACCTTTCAGAGTCATGGATCAGTGAGTGATTCTGAGAAGGCTAATCTCAGCATGGTAACAGCTACACTGTCCTAATCCTGTGCTGCTGTTGCTGAGGCTTTACTCTATATTATGAAAGCAGTGATCTCTATCTTCCACACAGCACAAGCCTGTCAGAACAATCTTCCTGTACCATGTGTCTTAGAGAGCTCAGGCTTAAAACCTCTCTTTTCAAGAAAGAAGACAATAAACATTTTCCAAGTCCCAGCATAACACTCGCTTCATCGCTATGTGACACCTCAGAAATTCATGATGTGTGACTCAGAGATGCAGGATCCTTGTCTTTGTTCGAGAAAATTGATTCCATTCTTCCCGTGGTGTGGCTGAATAATCCACCATTCTTTTGCTCTCCAGCGCCTGCAGCCCTAAGTGACTGAAGGTGCTAATAACTCCCACAGAACTGAACAGCTTGATTTTTGCTGTCACATTGGAAGGAGAGAAGAATGTTTAAAACTAATGCATGATATAATACTCCTTATTCATTTCTTCTCCAGAGCTAAAGGAGGAACCTGGAACATCAGTATTCCAAATACTAGGCTCTTCTCTTCAAAATCTTAAATATCAGTCTGAGCCACACTCTGCCAATTGCATGGGATTCACCATAAGCAATGAACCACGAGCAAATCAAAGAGTATTTCAGGACTTCACATATGTAGCAGAGGCATATTTTCCCGATTCCAAAATTTTTACAAACCCACAGAATAGTCTTATGTCCCATTACTAACAGACTGAGAAATTAGGTGCTACTTACAATAAGAAAATGAGAGGTAGGAGGAGGATTTTTGAAGAGAAGGCATCTGTACATCATGACATTAATTCCATTCACTTCAGCGTTCAATAGAAAATGTTGATGTAGCCATCAAGAGAAGTACTGCAGCAGCAGCCGCTGCCACAGAAGCATTTTGTTACTGCTCTACCTGTAGAAAAGTCTTTGAACTGGAACTCAGTTCTTATTATGCACCAGAGAATTTCAGAAGGCTGAAATTCTGATGATACCAAATATTCTTAATTATTTTTTTAAACAAAATCTGCACAGGTTGTGATGTCAATAGTACTACACTGATTGGAATGGGACATACAGAGAAGGGAAGAAAACAAGAGATAAACTGGGAAAAGGAAAATGGAGAGGGAAGAGAGTGTGTAGCTACAAAGACAGGAAAAGAGGAAACAGTTGTCCAAGCAAATGAAGTAAGGGAAGGAGAAAGTAACAGTTGGGAGCTGTGAAGGAATCACATCTGCAGCAAAATGCATCACCTAACTACTCGCCACTTCCTATTAAATCTCACATTCTTCCTTCTTTTCCTCTCTGTGTCTATGCGTTGCAACATCAGCTTCATTCATCTATGCTTTTGGTAGAGATGTCCCCACTAAGGACTATCATTTCACAAATTTCCCAGTCATCTCTTTCCTTCTGTCTGCCTGATTGCACACGAAAGCAGTAGAAGCAAATACATCACCATGCACATCCAGGCAAAGAAAAGCTGTATCAAAATCTTACAGCACATAAAAACTTGTGCTTTGTGAGAGGGCACCTGGGAAAGAATGTCAGTCTAATTCATTAATCTTTAGAGCCTCTTCAAAGTATCTCCTCTCATTATATACTCTCAATAGCAAATATATTTTTTGTTTTCCCTTCTCTAATGTACTGTCAGCAACGATGAGAGCAGATAAGCAGTCTCTGCTGGGTTTCAGAGGTGTTCCATTACCTCTTCCCCGTAGCACTAACACCCTAGGAAGCATCAAGAGTTACCAGCCAGAGGGGCTGGTAGCTGGGTTGAAATTGCATGGAATAAACTGGAACAGGGAAGGCCTGACTCTTTATGCCAACACTGGATCCAAGCTGATCCAACTGCATGGCTCCACTCAGTTCTGGAAATTTCTCTATCCTTGCTTCCTTCAGTCCCCGACCCTCTGCTTCAAGAAGTAAAAATCAAGATGTCATTCTTCTCCCTTGGACATCACCAGAATATATTTTTATTAACTCGCCCTTATGCAAATACACACACACACAAAAATTAGCTGGCCCTTTGGTACTAGGACAAGAGTTATGGCAAAATACTGCAATGTCTCAAACACAAGCCTATAGGCAGGATGGAAAAACAAAGCCAGGAGAGAAGACTGTATTTATTCAGACGTTTATGTGTTCTCCTCCCTTTGCCTACTTGCTGTCTCTTTCTGTCTTCCTCGCCTTCCTGCTTTTGCGATATCAGGGCCATGCTATCCCCAGAGCAAGCTGGGCAAGAGATTGTTATATTAAGAAAATGTGTGCTGCAAAATGCAGACCAAGGCAAAGGCTCCCAGAAAAACATAGCAAAGGCCAGACATGGAAAGGTCCATGTGTAACAACTGATGTGCTGAATAGTCTGTCTAAAGAACCTTAATCCCATGCCCTGCTTCTCATATCATCCAAAGGCTTTCTAGCTTCTGCCATTTTTTTAATTGAAAAGGGAATATGATGCTGGGAAACTGAATTATCTCTACTACAAAAATTTTGAAAAGATCAAGGCATCGGCTAGGGTATGTCAGAATTGGTGGAGTCATGATAGTTTTTGCCAGAGAGACTTTGGCTCTTTCTCTTTTAGAACTGACGTAAAAAAAATTTCTTCTTAAAGAAAATCCCCAAAGACTGTGTTCTCTTAACCTTCCACTTGGAAATCCCAGCCATTTCACAGTCAGGAAGCCAAAAAAGCTAAATATTTAAACTCATTATTCTACTGTTGTGAGATATTATTTTTGCTTTATTTTTTTGGCCTTTTTTAAAACAGCAGTCAATCAGTTCATTGTCATATGCTTGGGTAACTGAGTCAAAGACCTTATTTGAACTAGCCTTGTATAACACTTCATTTCAGACAATCTAACTACTGTGTCTTACGCTAAGAGCGCACAAAACTTTTTCAGTTTTTCACAGATGCCATGGTTACCCTTACTTCTAAACAACATCTGGAATTACATGCTTTGAGGTGGGACTCTGGGCTAGAAATGTCTAACAAGAGCATAAAGGAAAAAAAATCTTTTAAGTGACAGATAGAAAAATATTCTCAGAAACTTTGCATTTTGCATGACCAGCAAAACAGGAGGCAAGAGAAAGTTGGCCTGGATGTGCAAATTACTTTTCCAGACCTAAACACATGAAAAATTAATCTACTCTCACCTGTGACAAAAATCCATTCAAGAAGACTCTTGAACTCCACCTTCGATTTTTTATTTCAGCCAAGCAGATTCAGTTAAAGACAAATTTTGCTTGTAGTGCACTTCCACAGACTTCCATTATTTTGTTTTCACAGCAATGAATGGATATTACAATGCAGATACAAGTTTCACCACAGCCTTGAAGTTCTTGGTGGCAAAGCCCCTCATAAGCAGATTTTATTCACTAGCACCAAATATGTGTTTAAACATACATTCTAATGAGTAGGCAAGGCTGACCTAGAATCCAGCTGCCCACACACCAAACCTGCCAACCTTATTTTAACAAATTTTCAGCATTCACTGCATTCAGAGCTATACATCACCTTTCAAATTGAGCAGGATTCTTTAGAAAGGAGGAGGATGGAATATAAACACTCTGTCTTTACTCTTGGAACCATCAGCAGTATTTCTATGCATAAAATAATAAGCGAAGCAGGAAATAAAAGTTATTAAAGAACAAAACCCAAAGCAAATTGACTGCTGGCACATGAATTGGTCAAATGTTTATTTTTCTAAAGAACAGCTTTTATTAATTTTCTGTCATGTTGCAATTACTTGGAAGTGAATATAGTGATCTATATCCAGGACCCAAAAAAGCGCAGATGCTGACAACATACAGATACGTGCCACATGTCCTTATGGCCCAATAAAACTTTTTTTTAAAAAAATAATCCACATAAATAAATTGCAGAAATGATTGACACACAGAGCTTATTTGAAACATAGCCCAACTTGGTAAGACGACTACAGATTTAAACAAAAATTGTTCCTAGTATTTTCTGCAGCGTATAATGGATTTAACCTCTACTTTCCTTCTGACTAAGTGCATGCAACTTATTGCTCTTGGAAAGACTGTTAATATCAGTTTTTATTTGATTTCATTTCACATGTATGTCCCAATACAACCCAGAATTTTGTAACTGGCATGTGTCCCCTTGTACAAAAATACAATGTCTTCCCCAAAGGACTTCCACGGTGCTGCAAAAAAAAACCAGCCTCAGAGCCAAACCCACTGCACTCTGTGACACCCTGTGAAATTGTTGAGTCAAATAATTTTTGAACAATTAATTATGACGATTTTTATAAACACCATGAACACAGCTGTTGCACACTGTGAACAAGTTATAGGAAGGGAATAAACATGACTGTGCTCTTAACAGAGATGAAATTGGGACAGTCTGAAAAGGCTCCCCCCATTAAGTTAAAAATCAGGAACAAAACAAAATATGGAGAAAAGCTATGCAAAGTTATGAGCGTGTGCCTGACCAGTATCTGTGAGAGGATATATAAATATTTCAAGGGAGAAGTACACAAGTGTAAGGACTCCTAAGAAGAGAAGTTGGCAAGTAAAAACTTAAATTCTAACTACAGAAAAAAGGAAAACAACTTTTTTAAACACTGACTCTACAATACAATTACTCTTTCACAACAGCCCCAAGCCACGATCAGATGACATCTCAAAATACTTAGTCAACTGCAGAATAATTTCCTACATATAATATCTGTCTTAGATTTCTCATCTTTTAGAACAAGCACACTATCCTACTGGAAATGCTGTGAGTTTAATGGATGCTTCATGCATGCAGAATCTGGCCTGTAATTTCTTACTGATACCTAAAACAAAGGACCAATGCAAACAGCCAGAAAAGGTAGCTCACATCTTTTGCAACTCAATTTTAACACCCAATGTTTATTTTGTTACCATGCTGAAGACATGAAGGTACTGGCATAGAGTAAAAAAGAACATAATGTAGTCCTAATTTCAAGTATGCATTTCCCAAAATATTTACCTTGGGTGAAAAGTAAAAAGTGAAGCTGCAAAACTAATATTAGAGTTCAAACAAGGTGGTTTTAAATAGAATTCTATCAATCCTTATACACTTACCTGTTACTCACTAGATGAACTCTTCATGAACAAAAGAGGCTTCTTAAAATTCAGACACTGCTCATTAATGGCAGACAAACTGGAATGCAAGCAAAACCGCAGAGCTAAAAGTCAGTCAGTACAAGCACATCCCTTATCCATTACCTACTGAATTCAGCCTGCACTGAGCCTATGGCTCTATGTTAAAGACTTCATTCATTCACAGCCTTAGATTTACTTTGGTAGGTTTCAGAATGGGATCCAGGCTTCAACGGTCAGCCTGGAAGATAATGGCCTTTACTGACATTACTATAATTTGAAGTTTGTGTTTGCTGTCAGTCAGGTATGATGTGATCCCTATTGAGTTGTGGTGAAAGGGAATAATGCTTCTAACCCTCAGGGCTGGATGCACTCTGCTTAGAGCAGAAATGAAGCCCTGCTGCTGGCGAAGAAGGTGGTTACACAGCTTTCTTTGTGCTGTCAGACTACAGAGTACTGGAAAGAGTCCATGCCACTCTGACCAGGGTACCCGGGAGCCATACAGACAGTTGACCACTGCTATATTTTGTGGCCTGTCCTAACATATGAAATTTGCCTCCCCTTCAGAAATCTATACCTCAATCACACAAAGCTCTTGGGAACAAGCCTGGATCCAGGATACACTGAGAGCCCTCTTCACTTTGTGGAATATGGAGAGGCTGGCAAGGGCAGAGGAGGTGGGTTCAGCTGGGAACAGAATGAGTGAATACCTGAATTAGGAGATTTACTAGGCAAATGGAAAAGAAACTGTGTGCTAGCTTTCCAGTTTGCTTTGTCTCTTTAGAATTTTTAATTGTTCACACAGTAGTGCCACAGGAGTATATTTTGTAAACAAATATGTTGTCCTTCATGAGCTTAATCAATCCATTCTTTGCTTTACTTACTTGTATAATATGACTTAAGACACTGTGTCTCTTTCTCTACGACCATATGTTAATGACTCATAACTGTGTTAGAAATGTGCTTACAATTAGTCCTTCAAATGAAACACACACACTACAGCAACCTCAACCAGTCAGGAGTGGACAAAGAACCTTCTGCAGTTCCAGTTCTCTCTCCTCCCCTGCCTCCATTTAACAAGTCAGCAGCAGGGGTGGAGCTTTTAGTGTTTTGTATACACTTATTTTCCATTCAGATCTCTTCTGTTTTCCAGAGTATTTCCTTATTTTCCTCACTGCCTTTTCTTACAATAGTTAGCATAAGCAACATTTATCTAGCTACTGCAAAAGTCTATTATCTGTTCTCTTCCTCTCCATGCAAAGGGAACTCTATTCTAATACTTCCCTCTTGTAGCCAGAAGCCACTGAAGTCCTAAGGAAAATAGCCTTTTTTTAAACACTGACGCTATAATACAATTATGCTTTCACAATTGCACAGTGTTAGAGGCCTGTTCCTGTTCTCCTTGGAGGCAATCTGGTTCTAAGAACGTTTTCTGTATTTCTTAACAAGTCTGAAGATAACTCTTAAGTATCTCCTAACATCCTTGGTACATTTTTCTTTCATGCACCCTTTCGTCTTTTGAATCAGGACAGCTGCATCTGCAGGCTGTGCACAACCACAGGGAACAGCAGCTCAGGAATCAGGCTCTCTAGGAGTCCAAAATGTGCATCTCTCTGGAGAGGGTTCACTGGCAGTCACTCACCTGCTGGAGGCCTCGCAGCAAACAGGTACAGTACACAGTGGAGCTGTTTTTTCAAATGGGGTTTTCCTAGTTGCCCTATTAAAGGGCAATATAGGATGTCACCAGCCTAGCAAGGTCACTGAGAAGTAATGTGAGCCAAAGTTCCTGAAAAGGTCTCTGATCTACTTTCAAATGCAAAGTGGTGAGAGAGGAGTAGTAATTTGCCTGGATGTAAGCTACATGTGGAAAGGCAGCCATTGATCACTACGACTGAGAAGAAGAGAGAAGGAACAGGAAAAAGGTCCTAGCAGTGGATGGGGGCATCACACATCAAGTCATCTCATGGCAGCTTTGTTCAAGGCAAAGGGAGGACTGCAGGGAATTTCTCAGTTAGCGAGACATGCAACACAATATTGTTATATTGTTCTTCGTAAAGCAATATGCAACCATGGCTGTTTTTTTTTTAAGGGAAAGTCATCTGAGCCCAAGGGATGGACTGTTAGCACTAAATGGACAATCACTTAAAGATCTGTCCAGCAAGGAGGCTGAAGTTCTCATTCACGCAACAACACCGCTGATGAATGTCATGATGGCTAACAAAGTACGTATGAAAGCTGTAGTCCCCTCCCATGACGGTGGGGTGATCTGACACTTACTTGAGCGAGAAGAGGATTTTATGCATCAGACATTTGAAAAGCGTGGTTTTGTTCTTCCTGACAAAACCCCAGAGCTCTTGTGGTCACACTCTCGTGACTTTCAGCATAGCTTTTTCCCAGATAAACAGAAGCTATGGGGAGACAAGGCCCTGGGAAATTGTAGCAAGGGCTGTACAACCCCTCCTTTTAGAAACACATAGCTTGCCAATGTTAATTTTTCATTTGGAAGTTGAGACAAAAGGCAGAGGTGGATTTAAGTGAAGATCTAAGAATCAAGAAGCCAGAGAACAGACCTGTACTGAAGTAGTTTTGTAGATCTAGAATCTATAGCTAGGAAATTCCCAGGGTGAATGTTACTGGAGTCTACTACAGAGAGGTGAACAGAAGACAGCATTAACAGGTCAGTAACCTCAGACTGTCACCAAGTCCTTCAGTGGAAAACCCTTTTCAGCTTTCTTTCACAGAGTACATTCACTGGATTAGACACATTTCGTTCTGAGCTTCTTGTCCACTCTTCCCCAACACCAAACTAGATGGCACCAAGGCTTTTCACTTGCAAATTCTGGAGGAAGCCCGAAGATGATGAGTGGACAGAGTTAGTCCCCTACCACAGATTTACCACTTTGAAGACAATAGATCTCAGCAGAGATTTTTTGCAGACTTCAGATATTAATATTCAAGGAAAAAAAAGACACTTTCTGCTTGTTATCTGCAAGAGAGTTATGTAGAAAACTCTGATACAATCCTAGACTGAGAAAACACTCTTGACTGGAGTGCTATCATTTTTGAGTAAAGCGTGCCTCTTTATAGGACAGCAGTGAACTATCTTTCACCCAGATGTCTGCTAGATTCTCCCACGACTTTTGTTTAAATGCCTAAATGGCCAGAAATTAGCTGTATTAAACCTTTGTAACTTATTACCACCCAGAAAGCAGCCAGGTGACCTCTGCATTTAAAGACAAGCCTGCACCAAATTCATTAAGAGTTAATAGCAAAGGATTTTCAAGCTAGCTAGCCTGGTAAGAGAAAGACTGCAAAATCATTTTCAAAATGCCTCTTTAAGGATCTTTTTTACATTTCTTATTCTGCGGTGTTTCCTAAGGGAACGGCGCTGGAAAGCCTAGTAGGATTTCCTACTTGACAATGCCTCCACCTGCTGTCGAAGAGGAAAATTATTCATTTGTTGAGGTATCTCCAAACAGCACTACTAAAATCAGGCTTCTGGAAGAAAGTGTTTATCTTAGTTGTTTCCAGACATATTAGAACATAGAGATCCTGCTCTGATGCTGTTCCTGTGGTCTTCTTAGCCCCTGCAGAATATCACTGAGCAAAAATCTTTTATATTTGGGGTTTTACTGTATTTCAATCAGTTTCCATATGCTGTCTGTATTTAGTCATGTTCTTCCTTTAACTCTGATTCCCTCAGGGTCAATGGCTTTCTGTCACAACAAAAGCAGGAACTATACACACCCAGAGATTATTCCCAACATCAACTCTTATTCAGAGGTGATGAATTTATTTTCAAACTGTTCTGAACATCTGAATGGTTTCTCTGCAAGTTTTTAAATGCTAGAATTGGTGGCCATATTTTCAAAAGCAACTAAGTTTCCAAGTAGCCTAGTCCTCAAAGATTTTTAATCACTTGGATAGTATTTTGGCTAGAAACCATCCCTCTAAAATCAGCACAAGTTAGACACCTATCCATCGCTGCAAAGACTTTGCCTTTTGAAAATAGTGCCTTTCTAAGGAGATGGAAACTTGAGTACCCAAGACCACCAGTTAACTCCAGCAATTAGTCAAGCACAGCTACAGTTTACTCACACATCAAACTTTTAGTCTCTCTGAACCAATTGGAAGTGTCTAATTAATTTTCTGTCCTTTTTGAATAAAGACCAGAATCTGTTTCTATCTTATTACTTTGGCAAGTTAGAATCATGTTTATAGCAAAGTTTGGGGCTATATTCTCCTTTATCATCCTATTTATTTTAAATAATTAACTTTGCTCCATGTATTTTTATTTAGGCTGAAATCTGTGCAAGCCAAATTAGGAGAAGTTTTATTCTGAAGTCCAGATCAGTTGAAAATTTCTTGAATAGCAATAGATTTTATTATTTTTTTTAGGAAACACCAACATGTAAGGAAAGGCCTTTGGAAATACAAAATGGTTTTTTGCATAGTAAAGCTGCATGTCAACGGACTCGCAGTAACTCAACCAGTAAGTTGCAAAGAAGTAATCTTTTATCTTGTGATATTCAGGGAGTGCATAGCACTCCATCGTGTGATGCTGCTGAAGTGCTGAAAGAAACAGCAGCTCTTGTCCAAATTTAGTGTGTGATCTTCAGCTAAGTAAGAACTGCTGATGCATGAAAGCATCAGCTTTTATATTCACAACATCTTACAGTCAGGAGTTTCATGCATAAGTATTCCATTTTATGTTTCTCAATGTGTATTCTAAATAGGCCAGTGCTCTTTTGGTAAGGAATGTCTGTTTTTCACTATAGTTAACATAAATGGCTGTCCCCACAGAGAGGGCTGAAAAGATCACTCCCTTCGCAGAAAGAATTACAAGAGGAAAAACATTTCTAAGTAAAATTTACCTGATAAAATGAACGTGTGGAAATGTCCAATGCTTGAGAAACAGTCTGGCCTCTCTCTCCGCATCTGACAGGTATAAATCCATACTGGGTAGGGGAGGTGAACTGCTCGATGCCCCGGAAAGCTGCGGCCTTCAGAGACCGGCAGCCCCACGCTCTCCACACCGGCTGCAAATCTCTTTCCCAACAGCTGGACTGCTCAGGAGGAAGAACCCCAGTAAGTGCAACAGGAAAATGCCTGAAAAACAGACAAAATTGTCTCCAGTAAGAATCTCTCAGCGGCCTTGGCAGTCACGTTTCCTGCCAAAACCCACCTTCCTTGTAGGCCCTGTCAGGGGAGATGGCACACACCTGCTTCCTCTAGTCTTTAACCCCGTCCCTCCCCTGCGAGGAATAGGAGAGTGGGGAAAGGCTCTGTGCTAACAAAACCCCATTTCTTTAAGCAACTTTTCCCTCCACGTTGCCCCAGCAGGTTTTACGGTGTGTGTAAATCCCCCTGTGTGGTTCACACCGGCGTGGTAGCCACCTGGAGCCAGCTCAGAGCTCATCACTGAAGAGGCCCTTCCCTTCCCAGGCATCTCCCCGCTGCTGGCTGCGCATGTGGCCAATAAAACTCCAGCCTGAGCTTTGGACCCCGCTGCCGGGACCCCCCTGAGTCACCTCTGTTGGCCCAGCCATGGCCACAAGCAGGTACGGACTCACCTCATGGCTGGTAATTGCTGCCCGCGGCCATGCTGGCTGCGTGAAGCATCCCCTCTCTTAGCCCCACAGTGACTCAGACATATTTAAACAGCCCCACTAATGCAGGCCAGAGACTGACAGTGACTTGCTCTCCAGATGGGCACCAAGCACTTCA